TAAATCAACTTAAAAGTATACAAATTTCTATTCAATATAATAATGCCAAAAATAAAAAAAACAATTTTTTAAACTTAAATTTAGTGTATCATATTTTAAGTAAACTTACTCTTGTTTTCATAGCTGCTCCAACAATGCCTGTGAAAAACAATGCATTGCCCTGCTTCAGATATGAAGCCGCCAGAATCCTGTCACTGTCAAGGAGCAGTCTTCCTTTTTCTATGGCCTTCACATCGCCTGTGCTTTGTTTGTCACCTATTGATATTGTTAAAGATAGTTCATAATACATGTATACCCAGGTATATAAATAAAGAAGCAATGACCAAACTTGTACTGCACCATGAAAAATTATATTAAGTTTAAAGTATACAGTTAAACAGTCAATTCGTAAAAACAAACCTGCTAATCTATGCACAAAATACATGTCGATTTGTTCGATACACATTTCTGGAATGTCTTTTCTATGATCATCCTGAAGCTGTTGGAATCCCCTTGTAGGCCAGTCTACATCTAATGGCTCAGGGATGAGAATTGGTTCATTCTTAAAATCTTTGTTTCGGTCATATGCCCTTAACCTACAGAAATATTAATTATAGCTTAGAATAATCTAACAAAATGACACCAAATATAATCATAGACCTACATATACTCACCCAACTGGTAGCAGGGCCCTATATACATTTATGGTTTTCTAAGTAAAAGTACATATAGGAACTATTATTATCTGTTGAGAAGTGGACAAGTCCAGTTGGCTGTACAATCAGAACTTTTAGCTACATAGCAAAGCTGGTCTTCCTTGTTATAACTAAGTGCAATTTTTCTGCACATATGATCCTGAGAAAAATGCTTATTTCAGAAATAATTAAGTATAACTAGACAAAGCTACTTCAGCTACGTAGCTAAAAATCTAGCGATTGTATCCAGTGCGTCGATTTACCCAAAAGGACCCAAAAGGACCCAAAAGAACCCAAAAGGACCCAAAAGGAACCCAAAAGGACCCAAAAGGAACCCAAAAGGACCCAAAAGGAAATTAAGAACAACCCAAAAGGACTTGAAATAAAGACAATAAATGGATATATAATGAACATTTTCATATTTTATTAAATCTAAAACTATTTTTTTTAGGGTAAAGTGTGTGGTTGGGGTGGAGGTGGGAGGTCCCCCACCACCCATAACCCCCCACCCATCCCCGATACCATATGCCTAAAACATGAATAAGATAAAACTTTTTTTCATTTATTAAATATCATATAGTAAGATATGGTTAAACAGAAGGAGAAGTAAATTAATACTTTGTTAATTTCAGCTAAAAGAAATCAAAGCATACCTGACCAGATTAAGTGTTTGATGTGCTATAAAAGTTGTATGTTATTGTTACAGTTGCAACAACATAAGTATGTTTTTGCCAACTTTTATGTAAAAATATAATATAATATTCGTAATTTACTTCAAATTATTAATTTTCAATGTTTTATGATATATTAATTAAAGTCCTTTTGGGTAAATCGACGCACCCGATTGTATCAGACCTGGTACATATAGGCTATAGAAAAAATACACCTTTACTTACTTTAGAATATATTCTGTAAGCACAGGTAAACAATACAAGTACAAATATACAAAGATACAGTAGGCAAAAGTTCTGTCGTGGCTGCACGGGCTGGCGGGAAGAGAGTCTCTGTTGATCTATATTTAGAATCGGGAAAGTCCTTAAGTAAGTCGTACGAAAGTTCATTCTTTACAACACTCCTCCCCGTTCCAATTTGAATGTTCTGTATTTGAGTTATTTAAATTTTCAATATTAATTTAATATACAAAATATTACTTTATAAACACACCTAATAACTACTATAATGGCCACAAATATTAAAACAATTATACAAACAATAAAAACTGATTTACTGTTAACATGGCCATATAATAATATAAAACATCATCACATCCAGCACCGATGAAGCAGAATACAGAGCACAGAATAACATCCAGCGCTGATAAAGAAGAACACAAAAGACATCATCACATCTGGAGCCGTTCGAGGAATTTGATGCAATGGAGACTGAATGTATCACTGTCAGCACACTTAATAGCGGCATGAAGGCATCTTTAAAATAAATATTAGATATCTTCAGCACACTAATAAAGCGGCATGCACTTGGTCACCAGTCTTTCCTGTTTTAACATCTGTAGAGCTTCCGTGCATTCATGACGGTTGTTCTCATCAGCTCTGGGGGGCGCATGTTCAAATGGACGGATAAATAAGCTGCTACTTCTCCCAAATAAGCTGGAGTACTCACGATGGCACCTCCTAAAGGAAAGTAGGGCGCATCGGTCTCCAGGAGCAACTTATTATGAGGGATAGCCTGTAACCCTTCCAGCTGTTCATGGTCAAAGGCTCTGACGGCAGCTGTCACTCCAAAGTACGTGTTTGGAAATTTCCGCAGCCAAGTCCTCACCACGTCAGCTCTTCCCATGAAGCAGTGTACATGGATTTTCTGTTCTGGGTCACAGATATCCTCCATTAACATGAGGCAACGACCATGAACATCTGAGGAATAAGTGTCTCCTCTTGGTCCTCTGAGGTGGAGAACAAGGGGCTGCTCGACTTTTGTTAACTTCAGAAGCCTAACAAACACTTCCTCTTGTCTACACCACTGGGAAGGAGCAATGGTTCTGTCTAGGCCGCATTCCCCCAATGCCACTACTTTAGGATGTTCTAGGAGTTGTTGCATCTTCATCGTTTTCTCTACGGTGAGGGTATCATAATGCTTAGGATGAACTCCAATTGCCACTTTCCAGGGACCTTGTAAGGTGAAGTTTACCTCTGGATAGGACTTGGGCTCACTATATACAATAATTCCCCCAACTACGTCTACCTTGATGGCTGGCTTATAGGAAACATCACTGGAGAAGCTGTATTGCAGTAACTCCTCTACAGTACGTCCTCCAGACCTCCCCCAGACTGCCCTAAGTGAACGGTCTAGGTGGAAATGGGCATCAAATACCTGAGGCAATGATGTGTTGGCCAGTACTGTAGATTCGTCTTGGTCCGAATCAGCCTCATCTACCAGGATAAATTCCTCCAAGTCTGACGGCAGTTCAGAATCCGACGCTTCCTCTACCATCTTATCTTCCTTGCTGGGGTCTTCTAACGGCTGGAAATGGTAAAACTGCTGCTGTTGATCAGGACTACAGCTATTCAGAATCACCATAATGCACCTCCAGAACAGCAACACAGCAGGAGAGTTGATGGGTCGCAAGGTGAAATGACTGGGCTCTGAAATCTGCAACAGCTTGCATGCCTCTATAAATACTTTATGATGCAAGGGATTTAGGTTGGCAGACTCCGGAATTAAACCCGACTGATTCACCCTGTGCACAGCATCCCATAATGAAGCTTCTTGTCCATAGGCCATATGAACCAACCATCTTAGTGCTTGGACAGCACCAGGCAAATGCTCCACACCAGTCGCGTCCTTAAACACAGCTGGCAGGTGCTTTGCTAGGGCATGTCTCCTCGCTCTCTTGTCCATGGATCCACATGATGACAGTATACAATATTCTGTTGTCTCGGGTAAAGTTGCCTTTGTCCGTGGACTGTCAACAGTTATGGTCAAGGATCGCTTATTTGAAGAAACTCCTATTTTCCTCTCTGTTGACTGTATATATGTTGTTTTCAAGGATGGCAACTTTACAACAGATGCAGGTCTTGTCTTAACAACTGATGTTGACTCTTTGCTGTAGGATTCCTCCAAGGTTTTTGGTTCTTTGAACTTGGGCTTTGGCTTGGTGGTAGACTTTACTTTTGTTTCCAGTTCTTTTTCTGTCTTTGAGGTTGTCTCCCCACTAGCTTCTGAAGTCCCAAGAACAGGCTCGGTTAAATCCAGCACTGAGTCATCAACAGCGTTCATCCGGACAACTTGCAGAGAAGGATCAGTAGTCAATCTGATGTCGCGCGAAGTTACGGCAGCATCAGATGGTTTGGTTGACCGATGAGGCTTCACCAGCTTCTGTCGGGTTAAGGAGGGTAAGTTTTCCTCAATCCACGAGTCCGGCAAATCGCATTGGCAGTTTAACCTCATCTCATGAATCCAGTGTTTGAACCCCAATGTCTTGGCAACCTTGTATTGGAGGACTGATCCTTTCTTCAAGTCATCATTACTCTGAGTCACTAGATTCATATATAAACTTTTAGGCTCCACCATGATGTGGTTATCACTAAGGCGGCGGACACAGTCCATTACACTCTCGTCTGGCTTTCTAAGAGCTTCAAACTTATTGGCCTTAGGTCGCTGTCTTGAGTTTCCTGCTTCTTTCCAGGCTCTCTTTGTTTCTTCTCTGTCAGACATGGCTAAAATAAAAACATAATTTACATATTATATACAATCAGGACAAAGATAAACATCAATTTGTTCGGCTTGTCCTGGGGTAACATTTACACAAGACCCATGATACCATTCTTTACACTCTTCACATTGTATCATAAAGTCTCCATTGTCAGGGCCACGGCATAGACAGAACAGACTTTTCTTACCTGTCATCTCTGTCGAGCACCTAACATCAGTAGAACTCATTTTTAATGTCTCAACCTGTTTCTGTAACCAGACTGGCAACTTTTTATCTTGGCACAATTTCATTCTGTCATGGTTGATTGTCTCTAATTTTTTACGCAACATTACCTTATACAAGTAATCTGTAATTTTCTTGACTACCAACCCTGGCCCCTTCCATTTGGGTCTTAACTTTGAGCATTTACCTTTTGGTGTTGATGTGTCCAAGATATATACAGCATCACCAACAGAATATGATCGTGTAAAAGTTTTCAGATCATAGTCACGCTTAGCAATAGCCTGACTACTTCGCAACTTTTCACGAGCCAATTCATGAGTGGCTTGTATATTCTGCACTAGATTTGTGACATATTGCTCGTAATCTTCTATGTCACTTGGTTCTGGACCCGGAAAAATCAAATCCAATGGGCTATTAACTTTTCGTCCAAGCATCAACATATTTGGCGTAAACCCTGTACTTCGATTGACAGAGGATCTTATGGCACTAGCCAGTTGTGGCAAGTACTCATCCCACTGTGTTGGAGATCTACTTGTAAAACATCTCAGAGCATCCATGAGGGTTCTATTAAAACGCTCTACTTGCCCATTTGCAGAAGGTCTAAAAGCTGTTGTTCTTGCCTTAAAAATCTGTAATCTGTCACAAAGTTGTTTGAACAGAGTACTCTCAAAGTTAGAACCTCTATCTGTAAAAATTTGGAAAGGAAATCCAAAACGACAGAAAAAGTGGTTGATTGCTGCCCTTGCCGTTTCCTCAGCTGATTGATTTGGTAGTGGCACACATTCTACCCATTTCGTAAACTGGTCCACCATCATCAATATGTAAACATTCTGCTTAGAAGTAAGCGGAAATGGTCCCATAAAATCTAAGTGTACACGTTCCATTGGTGCACTAGCATGGTATGATGTCAATTTCCACCTAGCTTTCCTGTTCGGTTTCTTGTTTCTGCTACAGGTAGAACAAGATACAACAAACTTTCTAACATCTGTTAACATATTGTACCAGTAAAACCTTTGTTTACATCTGTTATAGGTTCTATCTTGGCCTTGATGTCCAGATGAAGGTAAATCATGAGATAAACTCAATATTTCCTCTTTTAAGGCTATGGGTACCACTAAAAGTTTGGCTCAAGTATTCTCATCTCTTTTCCACAAAATATCCTCTTTACTTAAGAAGAACAATTCTTTGTTAGTCCAATAATGTTTTGTCGCTGGGCTACTGAGGAAAAGCTCGTCTTCGTTAGGCACTTCTTGTTTTGCAAGCCAATTGAGAATTAACTTGAGGTCCTTATCCTTATGCTGCGCTTCACCAACCTCTCTCCAAGTATATCCATTTAACCAACATGCGAGAGTAGGCATTGCTTTGACCTGTTGTACTTTTATTGACGTATTCGCTAATGGAACAGCATTATCGACAGAATCAATAAACTTGCCCCATTCTTGATGTTTCTTCCTGCAATAAGAACATCCTCCACATGGTAGTTCCTCTAGTTTTACAGCATGCCTGTATTCATGACAAGTGTCCAAGTCCTGTAGCCGGGACAAGAAATCAGCAGTATGGTGTTTACTCCCAGGACGATGATGTATAACCATCCAGTACTGACTTAATTCTTCTAACCATCTGGCCAGCTGCCCCATAGGATTCTTAAAGTTCATTAGCCATTGGAGGCTGCTATGGTCAGTACGCAGGTCGAAATTGCGTCCCAGTAGATAATGCCGGAAATGTCTGGTAAATCGCACAACTGCTAGAAGTTCTTTTCTTGTTGTACAATATCTACGCTGCTCTGGTGTTAATGAAAAACTACAATATGATATACATCTTTCTTCACCATTCTGTATTTGAAGTAACTCGGCCCCAATTGCAAATTCAGAAGCATCTGTATCTAAAATGAATCTGCCATTTTTCGTTGGTATGGTAAGTACAGGAGCACTACAGAGAGCTGATTTTAACATCTCAAAGGCATCCTGATGCTCTGGAGTCCAATGAAACTTGTTTTTTCCTGTAAGACTGTATAGTGGTCTAGAAATTTCTGCAAAATCTTTAATAAAATTCCTATGGTAGTTGGCAAATCCGCAAAAACGCTCTACATCTTTTGTACATTTAGGAACTTGCCATTTTTCCATAGTATTTAGAAAATGCGTGCTTATTTTCATACCATCTCGTCCTACAGTTCGGCCAAGATACTCCACTTCTGTCCTAAACAGGTCGCACTTCTTCGCCTTTAATTTGATTCCATATTCTCTAAACCTTTGGAGCACTTCAGCTAAATTTTGTAAGTGATCTTGGAAACTTTTCCCTAAAACCAATACATCGTCCAGAAAGGCCAGAACTATTTTCCAATTTAACCCTCTTAGAACTAAATTCATTACTCTTGAAAAGGTACTTGGCGCATTTGTTAACCCAAAACTCATGCGTTTAAACTGAAATAATCCATATTTGGTAGTGAATGCTGTTTTGCATTTGTCATCATCTTTTACCTTAATTTGCCAATAGCCCCAAGTGGCATCCAGTTTTGAAAACCACATGTTGCCTGTTAAGGTATCAATGCATTCTTCAATGAGAGGCAGAGGAAAGACATCTTTTTTTGTCACTTTGTTTAGTGCCCTGTAATCCACACACCATCTCACACTACCATCTCTTTTTCGCACCAGCACAGGAGAAGACGCCCATTCTGACATAGACGATTCTATTACATCAGCTTTCAGCATCTTCTCTAGATGTTTCTCTTCTTCTCCTTCAAAGGAAGTAGGTGTCCTTCGGAACTTCTGTTTAATTGGGTTTGCATCCCCTGTATCAATAGCATGTTCAATAGCTGTAAAATTGCCTAAGTCAAATTCGTGAGCAGAAAAAACATCAGCAAACTGTATCAATAGCTTTTTCAATTCACGTTGCTGCATTTCATTTAACTCTGAACAGGAACTTTGATACATGCCTTCTAGGTATTCCGGAAGTTCTTTATTTTCTGTAGTTTTTATCTGTGCTGTTTGAAAAGTATTTTTCTGGTCACTCACTCCAACTGGAAATATCTCATCTATCTCATAAACCATACCAACCTTCTGATTCCTAAACAGCGTTATTTTACTATCAGACAAGTTGACACATGACATCATAGGAACACTTGCACCCACGATACATACACGAGGAGCAAGTAATAATTTGACGTCAGGTTCTACAAGATAGCAAGCTGGTTCTAAGGGATGATCTGTACTACATTGTATCCTTAAGACAGACCTTGGTGGAATTACAGTACGTCTAGCAATTCTTACCTGAGTAATAGCTTGGACAGAGTTACCCTTATTTTCAATAAAAGGAATTCTTTGATCTTGTACACAAAATAAACTCTGTTTCATGTCAATTTCAACTTGGTACTTCGACATGAAATCCAATCCAATAAGCATGGCATCCTCAATAGGAGCAACATATACACTTTCATTGAATTGAAGTCCTTTCATTTCTACAGTTGTAGGTTCAATCAAATATCCTTCCATGGACATATCTCTTCCTGCAGCATGCAAGGTAATATTTTTCACCACGCCTGGTCTATCTGGTAATGAATTGTATACCTTGTCAGATATGATGGTAACTTCTGAAGCTGTATCTATAATTCCTTCAACAGCAATTCCATGTATAGTTACGGGAATCATAATTGATGAATTTGATTTCAGCTGTCGAATGATTAAGGGTGTTTCTGTGTACTGCAGGCCGTCTTCCCTATGGACCAGGTTAAGGCCTACTGGCCTGATCCCTTCTCGTTTAAAGTTGACGAAAAGGATACATGCTTAGCAGGTTTGTTTTCTGTATTCTTCTGTGGACAGTCTTTTGCAAAGTGTCCTAGACCATTGCAGTGGAAACATCTACCATTATTGGGTGATGGGGATCTACTTCTCACTGGTTTCTTTGATGAGACGTTTGTCGACTGTGGTTGTATTTTCTCTAGATGACGGAGTAATGTGAAAATGCCATCTTTGATATCACCCATGTGCTTTGAGAGTTCGTTCAGCTGGGTATCCACTTTCTGTTTTTCTTCATTACTAGAAGGTTTTAGTTGTTTTGATCTTCTTACTTTGACAGTAGACATCTCATCTTCACTTGAACTTGCATGGTCTGAAGAAATGTATATCTCACGTACCTCTTTTTTAGGCTTGTCATAGATGCTCTGGTGATTGAACTGGAAGCTTTTGATTTTATCTATAACTTGTTCTACGGAATCTAAATTTAGATTCACGACATACTGACCTGCTTCCTTATCAACACATCCATGACAAATTCTTTTCACAGCTTGTTGGTACATGTACTCTTCTGGTAACTCAGGGAATGCACGTATAGACAATCGCATTACTCTGTCTGCCCAGTCCTCTATAGATTCCTCAGGCTTCTGTTTAGAGTTTGCTAATTGTACTTGTGCTGTGTCTGGTAATGGTACTCCACCAAACCTTTTCTCCAACTTGTTAAGGATTTCTGGAAAACCAATAGCTTGATTTCTGGCTACAATCGAAGCATAAAATTCACTAGCTTTACCTTCGAGGCACCAACACAAATAATCCTTTGCGATTTCTGGTGTCCAGTTCTTTACTTGGTAATATCTCATGAATTTGTGCTTAAATCCTAACCAATTATCTTTTCCATCATACTTCAGTCCCTTGGGAGGGTTATCATCTACCTGACGATTCTGTCCTCCTCTGTTTCTCTGGGGTGCCACAGGTTGATTTACAACTGGAGCAGGTTGGTTAACCGCCAGTTGTTGACCTTGATTGATAGGTTGTTGAGTATTTATTTGAGGTTGCGTTTGCAATAACCGATTACCTGTTGGAGGCTGAGGATTTTTTCTTGAGTCTGTTGCACCATATTACCACAGTATTGTTGCCCTTGGTTACCCGGAGTTTGTTGTACCATGATCCCAAGGTTTGGTTGCATTTGATTACCTGGATTTTGTTGTACCATGCTCCCAAGGTTTGGTTGCATTTGATTACCTGGATTTTGTTGTACCACGCTCCCAAGGTTTGGTTGCATTTGATTACCTGGATTTTGTTGTACCATGCTCCCAAAGTTTGGTTGCATTTGATTACCTGGATTTTGTTGCCATGGGTAACCATAACCTTGAAACTGACTTACTTGTGGAATGCTTGGTGGGGGCACCGAAAACGGCATCCCACCAAATGGCATCCATTGATTAGCATATACTTGTGACACTGGAGGCATAGATGGAGAATACTGCTGATTCATTGCCTGATATGGTACATTAGGGTACTGAGATGGAAACATACCTTGCGGACTGTGTGGAGTTGCCATGGGTACGGTATACTGATATGGCATAATCCCACCTTGACTGGATTGAATCAATGTTGGTTGACCCGACCATAAAGATCCTTGAACAGGGTGACTTGGAATAGGCTGACCCTGCATGTACATGTGACCTTGCATGTTCTTGTCTGCATATGTATTCTGCATAGGTTGACCTAATAAAGGTTGACCTTGTGCTGAGGGAGTGGAGATTGTTTGGGTACTGATAGGTTGACCATGTAAAGGTTGACCTTGCACTGAGTGGGTCGACATTGGTTGTGCAAATATAGGTTGACCAGGTGTCATTTGAGTTGACATTGGTTGACACGACATAGTTTGACTGTATATTAATTGACCTTGCATAGGCTGCTGTGACATAGACAAGCCTTGCATACCTTGAGCTGGGATAGGCTGACCTATTTGAGTTGACATTGGTTGACATGACATAGTTTGACTATATATTGATTGACCTTGCATAGGCTGCTGTGACATAGACAAGCCTTGCATACCTTGAGCTGGAATAGGCTGACCTAATGAAGGATGACCTACTATTGACTGACCATGACCTGATGAAGGTTGACTTAACACAGGTAAATTAAATGTACTAGGTTGGCTTGTTACAAGGTGACCAATAGTTGGTTGACTTGACACAGGCTTACCTTTGTTTTTCAGGACAGCACCCTTTGACTTATCAACTTGAAGACCAATAAGCTGGGCTTGTTCAAGGTCAAGTGTTTCTAATTTTACCCCAGGTACAGGCTGAATGTCTTTCTTAACACCTAATTTTTCATTTGCTATTTCATTTTTTGCATTCAGCAAGTTTTCAACATTGTCAATAATTTGTTTTGTTTGTTCTGGTTGATGAACTGGTGAGGACTCAGTTTCAATTGTTTCATTCTCGACATCACCATCATCACTTTTTACCAAACTTGAATTCGGTTCAAAATCTATCATTTGTGACAATTCTTTGCTCTCTTTTACAAATTTAATGGTGACCAAATTTTCAGGTGTGATGTTACCATTAACAGCTCTGAAATACACAATGTTTTGAGCTGTTGCTTCACCCACTGATGGCAATGTTTTCAATTCTTCTACATTTGCATAATTAATTTTAACCTTTGTTGTTTTCTCACCATTTTCATTGCCAGTTGCCATTTTGAATACTCTAATTTCCACACAATTCCAAAATAATACTTTCCGGGGATTCCTGAAAGTCCTAGCACATACACTTTCTCAATTAATCAACAATATGTTATTGCCATAAATAACAATGACAAATTGTCGACTATAATTTTTCACGAGTGCAAGTTTATCGTGTGAAAAATGTAAACAATGCAAATTAATTCAAAATATACTGCTTATTTCGTTTTCAGCTGTTGTAGAACCTCTGAAGTAACAAGCAATTTTCACAATATTAAATCGTGAAACCTGCTCAAAATTCTACAGTGACTACGCACGAAATTTGAACTAACTCACAAGTTATCAGTCAACGAGCGTTTAGTTCTGTTACCGGCGACGCCAATATAGAAAAAATACACCTTTACTTACTTTAGAATATATTCTGTAAGCACAGGTAAACAATACAAGTACAAATATACAAAGATACAGTAAGCAAAAGTTCTGTCGTGGCTGCACGGGCTGGCGGGAAGAGAGTCTCTGTTGATCTATATTTAGAATCGGGAAAGTCCTTAAGTAAGTCGTACGAAAGTTCATTCTTTACAACAAGGCGTATCGATATCACGTCAATAATACATGTAAATATATATTAATATACATTGCAAAGAGACTCAAGAACGCTTAGTGTTACAAAAATAACAGTGCAAATCAGTCAAAACTTTATAACCAACATCACATAATACATCAATATACATACGTATTAGATTTAAGTCTAAAGAAAGATGTATAGCGTCGATGTTGAATGGTACCAAAGTCGCGTCGTCTGCCCAGCAATACATTTGAAGGATTTTGTTGAAACTTCTATGGAAAATAACTAAGCTATATATAAAAAAAATACGTACCTTTTAATTAAATCAGCCTTCCTTCCTCTTGTTGTTGCTTCTCTCTTTCTTAACTCTTCCTTCAGTTGGGGAACAGTTAGCTTTAGGTATGTTTCGCTTTCCATTTGTTTCTTTTAAGCGTCTCTGTGACGAAAAAGCGTTTAACGGATGCCCTATAGCGACGTAAAATTTAGAACCGATAACGGTCATCGGCGCACCCTATTGCTTATAAGGTTATTATAACTATCATACGTGTATGTAGAATTAAAGAAATGCTGTCTAAATGAACTATAATATCAGCATAAGTATGAATAGCCTGCCTCGGTTTGAAAACTGACCGTGATCAAAACATGCTCTTGAGTAGTCACATATTTTTCAAAAAAAATCTAATACAAAATCTAGAAAAATAACCTCATATTTTATTTTTAGAAACTTAGAATAGAAATCCAAGTTTATAACACTTTTTATACTTGATTATGTGATCTAGTTTGAGCCACTCAGTTAATAGAGAAAAATAATCAATATATTTATAGATATTAAGCATGAAATATGTTTCAAATTGTTCCATTTATTTGTAAAACGTATAAAAATTTGTGCATGGATTTTTAAACAAATCCTTAAATATTTTTTTTATTTTTTAGATGCATAATCAGAGCAACAAAAAACGTATACTAGCTAACAAAACTTTTAAAAATGGAAGCTCGATGAGGGAGATAAATATCACGACCTCGGTGAAAGTCAAACATTGTTCACAGTGCCGAGGTGAATTAGAATTCCACTGTAAAACATGTAAGCAAGATCTCTGCGCTTTTTGTAAGGAGAAACACCTTATTCAATTGGATTCTAAACACCATAACGTCACAATTTACAGTTTGAAGAAAGTATACATTAAGCACTAGAATCATGTGAAAATCATCCCAGCATGCCATTTAAAACATGGTGTCATTCGTGTGAATTTCTAATCTGTGTTAAATGTGAAGGTCACGAAGGACATGATTTTTCTCCTTTACAGACTGTCGATTTTGAATGGCATCAAATCTGATATCTGCATGTGTCAAACAAAAATAGCAATGTTTCAGAAGAATATGGCTACCAAAGGTCAGGTACTTAAAGACAAAGTGGATTTGAGTCTACAACACTTAGATGAACTAGTGCTAATTGTAACGGGGACCGTTACAGATGTTCCCCAAACGCTCCCCAACTCCCTTTTGGTGCCATATCCCCTGTAAGCTTCATTAAATAAGACAAACTCTATGCATTTGAGACTTTTACAATGTTTACCCAAAAGTGTACCAAGTTCATTCAAATTTTAGCATTGCACGCGTGCACGTGTGAATGCATGTGCGTAATGACCATATCATATTGTCAACACAATCTATATATTTTAATATACTAAATATTAAAGTATTTAATCCAAAAGTATTAAAAAATAAGCTCATTCAGGTGTATTTTTGATTTTACTCATTTCACGTGCACGCACGTGCAATCATGAGCATGGTGACCATACCTTCTTGTAGAAGTCCATTACATCTATGTTCTAACTGCACCCCATTTGGTTGAAGACCAAGGGAGTTCTAGCTATTTAAAGTTTCAGCCAATCAGATTGCAGCACTTGTACACGCACGTGTATGCATGTGCATGGTGACCATACCTTCTTGTAGAGGTCCACTATATCTATCTATGTTCCAAAGCCCATCCTCTTTGGTTGAAAATCAAGGGAGTTATAGCTATTTAAAGTTTAAGCCAATCAGATTGCAGCACACGTGCATGCACGTGTTTTCATGATAATTGCTATATATCATGTTGTAGGATATCCTATTCCATGGCTATGTTCAAAATTTCAAAGGATTTCATCAAAAAACAAGAAAGATATTGAGACTTTAGTTTCAGCCAATCAGAGCGAAGCGCACGTGCATGCGCATGGGCTTGTATTTTGACCATGTCATGTTGTCTGTGCTACTAATATATCCTTATATTATGAGTTTCAAAGCATTTCATCAAAAATGGGAAAAGTTACGCCTATATCAATTAAATCGGTCATTTCACGTGTTGCACGTGCACGCTCTTGAAGCACGTGCGCGCAAAATGACCTTCGTTCCGCAAATTACAAACATGCCTACTGACCCTAAAAAGGTTTTACCTAAGTCGGATGTGTATTTACAAATCACTCCCGGAAAAAAATACCCCCGGGAAAAAAAAAAATAATAATAATAACTAAAACTCTTGTTGCTACAGCAACAAAGAAGGTCTTCCGTTCTCCTCTATTTATCTGCATAAATGGGTTTTTTCTATGTTAAAAGGCATATAATATTTTAAATGATTTCAGGAAACAAACGGCAGGAGGTGTAACTTACCAAGATTCGATTTTGAGTTACTTTAGACAACTATGGTATTAA